TCGGGCTAAGAAAGGTCTTCAGTCCCCATTTCCACGGAAACTATATTAATATAACTGTTGGGAACCTAGTTCTAACTCTTAGCCTGGATTAGACATAAAGGCTTGTCTTTGTGTCAAAGCCAATTTTCTGACTAGAAACAAAAAAACAAAACAAAAAAAGTTTGTTTTGTTTTAATAGGGTTTCTTTGTGTAGTCCTGGCTGTCCTGGAACTAGCTCTGTTGAGCAGGCTGGCCTTGAACTCAGAGGTCCACTTGCCTCTGCTTCCTGCAGGGCTGCCACCTGCCCAGATCCACCTGCAAGTGCTGGGATTAAAGGCATGTGCCACCACCTGGGGTGGAAGGGAAGCTCTTTAAGACTCAGAAGCTTCAGAAGTCCCCCAAACTGACCAGATGTCCCAGTCCTCTTCCCCGCCAAGCTTACATAAGTAGTGAAGACTCCCGAGAGACACTTGGGCAAGCGGAACTGGCCGGAAGAGAAACTCTTCCGTTTGTTGAATGGCTGCCAGTTGCGCAGTGACTTCCAGGCTCCCAGCTTTTGTAAGGGATCAACTGGGGTGGTGTGGGCTTTTGGTAACCTTATCTTTTAGTCAATTCTGCTCCCGTGTGGAGGCAAAGGCTTTAATCGGGTCCACATAGTGAGTTCCAGGACAGCTAGGGATACACAGAGGAAACCCTGTATAGAGAAAAAAGAATGAAATGGCTGGCATATACATGTAGTAAGGATAAAGTGACATCTTTTGCCTGCCTGCCATGGGAGACAGGATCTTCCTTATTTCTTCCCATGATGCTCTAGAAAAGCACACAAAATGGGTGTGTCAAGAGCACAAAGTGAATTCTAATGAAGCCAGAGTGCTTTTAAAAACAGGACTTCATTAGTGCACATGTAGCAAAATGCCCTGGTGCTTCGAGTGGGAACAACCTATGTATGAATTGTCAGCCAGATGACACAGCTAAGATAAAACCAGTTACTTTTGCGTGTGCATCAGTCTCCCGTGGTTTTGGATTTGCTATGTAGCCAAAGATGATACAAACTGGGATTACAGGTGTGACACCAGATCCCACCACTAACTTCATATCCAACTCCTTGCTACTAGAAATCAACCATTCTAGCCCTGTTCCCAACAATTTTTTTAAAAAATATTTTTTAGCCAAATGAATGGAAACACAATAACTATGAACCAAAGGCTGAGGGACCCCCAGCTGGATCAGGCCCTCTGAATAGGTGAGACAGTTGATTGACTTGATCAGTTTGGGAGGCAACTAGGCAGTGGGACCAAGTCCTGTGCTCATTGCATGAGTTGGCTGTTTGAAACCTGGAGCTTATGCAGGGACACTTGGCTCAGGCTGGGAGGAAAGGACTGGACCTGCCTGGACTGAGTCTACCAGGTTGATCGCAGTCCTCGGGGGAGGATTTGCCCTGGAGGAGGTGGAAATGGGGTGGGCTGGGGGTAAAGGGAAGGGGGGAGAATAGGGCTGATATGTAGAACTGAATGGTATTGTAAAATAAAATAAATTAAAAAAAAATAATCAAGATAGAAAAAAAATATTTTATGCACATTGGTGTCTTGCCTGCATGTGTGAGGGTGAGATCTTGGAATTACAGTTGTCAGCTGCCATTCGGGTGCTGGGATTTGAACCCAGATTCTCTGGAAGAGCAGTTAGTGCTCTTAAATGCTCAGCCATCCCTCTGCTCTCTTCTCTCAACTCTTTCTTGTTCAAGTAACCAATGGCTTCCCAGTCTATGGCTTTGCCTAACAGCTGTTTCCCTTTCCTGGTGGAATGGCAAATTACTTCTCTTCTGTTTCTTCATTCTCTTTTTGGCCTCTTAGCACAGGACTTGTGAGATTCAAAGTTAACATATTTTAATTTTGAACCATGCCTAACAGACCCATGTAACCAAAATACCTCTGATCTACAAGCCCCTCACCCAACAGAGTTCCTGCTGGAAGCTATTGCTTATGGCAAACCAACCATGTTTTCATTACCCTAATCATATTTGATCCATCTCCACTTCGGTGCTCTACCCCACGTGGGTCGGAATTCCACAGGCTGGAGGTAGTCAGCAGGATTGTTTGCTTGCCCAATTGTACCAAACGGGAAATGTAATGAATTAGTTTTCCTTAAGGTGCTACAAACTGATCCTGGGTGTTTTCCTAGGAACCTGGGCATGGGATGTGGCCAGAATTTCAAGGTTGCTTCAAAGTCGGCTTTTCAAACTGTGGTAGTGTCTCTCGTTTTTGTTCTGCAGGCTCTCTACACACATGAATAGACCATGGCCTTTCTTTCGTTTGGCAGCCAATATTTTGGTTTATTCCATGTGAGGACATCATAAAACCCAGGGATTAATACCCCCTTTTAGGCAAATGGTGTTAGAAGACAAGCCTTTTATAGGCTACAGTGAGGCCAGAGTAGTCTAGGGGACTATACACAGAGCACCTGAAGTTTCCTGAGACTTGAGCAATGTCTGGGAGGGCCATGAACAAGACTATCCTTGCAGTAGCTCTTTCTACACATACTGACTGCTTAAGTTTGTTTATTGTCTGGGACCCTGTCACCCACTTAGAGCTATGTGAATTAGTCAAGGACAGAGCCTGGGCCCCCAAGTCAGCCCCCTCAGCCAGCTAAGTGTGATGCTAGCCTCCATGGCAGCCTAGTACTTGTCCAGGCTTGCTTAAATATGACTATAAACCCCAATCAGAAAATTCAAAGGTTACGTCCCCTCACCCAGTCATAGGACAGACTTGTGGTACCCTGCTTGCTGCTTTTCCCTTTAGAAACTACTCACTCAGAGGGCAAGGCTGTCATCCACCTGCTGTTTCAGGACAGCAGCTTGCTTGTTATGGATAAACCTGTGGTCTTGTGCTGTGGCGCAGCACTGCCAAGCCTTTAGCCCCTAATTCCTAGGACACAGCTGAACAAATCCAAGTAACAAACTTTAAGGACCACCCAACAGCATTCACTTTCAGTACTAAACAGATGAACCACACCACAAATTCTAAAGAATTTAATTAAAATGAAGACACACAACTTCAAATTGTCAAAATTGTACGTAGAGGAAGCAGAGATGTCTTTACATTCTTGAAGATTTGGATTCCTGTAAAATAAGTTACAATTAGGCAAATGTTTGTAGCATGCCCAATGTACCCACCCCCTCCTGTCTTCAGTGTTAAGGCACACATGACAATATAGCTTTGTCTAATCACTGTTGGGTTCCTCCAGCCTGCCCCCATACTCAGTGCCAATGATCTGAAGGGGCTACCTACCATTCACATGCTCCTCCTTCTTTTCCTCAGACCTAGAAATTAAAGAGACAAGCCACCTTATGCTTTTTATCAACCAATAATTCTTCCCTGTTTGTATACAGAAACTCAATCCCTCAGACAGTTCCTTCTGGAACAAATTTTCCTCTTCTCCCCCAGCCAGCCCCAGTGGGTTCACCTTTTCAGGCTCTGGCGCTAGGACAGGAAGTAAGACGTGTGAATGTTTCTTCATGGGGAAATTATAGTTAAGGACACCTTACATCTAAGTTTTCTTACCTCATTCCAACCTGGCCTTGAGTGAAGACAGGTTTTATTTCCCTGCAAGATAGACCAGAAAGTGGGGCTGTTATCCCTATTGCTTAGAAGAAAACGATTTGTAAAGGGAACTCATTGTATAGAGATCATGTGCTAAGTTAACAATTTTCATAATTGATCTAGGGTGAGCTCACAACTCAGTAAATACCTTTCTTCACAGCTATCAGACTGGGGCGGTATTCAACTCATCATTGGTGAGCAAGAATTCACTAGATCAAAGCACTGCACAATGGTACCATTTATGTAGCAAATAGTATTAGAAAAGCATATTTACCTGGCATGGTTCCTTGTCTTTAGGCAAGACACCAAATCTGAAACAAGATGGTCAATGTTTAAATCATGCAACAATATGTTCCCATCTAACCCATTTTTCTGAGATAATTCAGATTTCCAAGTCTCAACAGCAATCATCAGCCGAACGAGATTCTATGAAAGTCATCATATTCGTTAAGTGCCTTTAGGAACTTTGAAACCCAATGTTCCATGCATGGTCACACACTAGTTTTACTTACCTCTGGACCAACAGGTATGCTACTGCTCACAGAACCTTTAGGAGGAAAAACAATCTGTTTAACAAAAGGCTGGATACAGGTACCCAGAGACACTCTGCTATTCAGTTTCTCAGGTGTTCATATGTTTTCACAGACAGTCATAGTGAGCTAGTTTAATTCATCATAGAAACTGCCTACTTGAACAAACCCCATCCAAAAGGGGGGAAAAAAATCAACTAACCTCTGAATGCTGGAGATTCGTGGTATACAGGAACACACACCTCCTGAATCAAGAAAGTTAATTAGATAAAAACCCAGAAATAGATACTACCCATCTTAGTCTTTTTACTTGAGGCAGCATTTCCCTGTGCTGCCCTGGAACAAGAAAGATCAACCTGCCTCTGCCTACTGAGTGCTGGGATTAAAAGGTGTGAAGCACCACCATGCCTGGCTATCTTACTCTTCTTAACAGACAGCCAGGAACTCTAAATATATGGTGTTCTTTGCTTCCTATGGTTCCAATTCTTTTCCAGGCTGTTACCTAACTGGCAAAATATTGAGCACTCTGATTTGGATTGTGTGTACTTAAGTACCTAGGAGAAATAGGGAGGCAAATGAAATATCAAAGAAACAGGGTGCTTGAGAGATGGCTCAGAGGTTAAGAGAGGTCTTGATTTCAATTCCCAGCAACCACATAGTGGCTGTCAACCATTTGTAATGAGAGCTGGTTCCTTCTTCTGGCCAAAATAACACTATACATAATAAATCTTAAAAAAAAAAACCCAAAAAACAGAATATTGTTTAAAAGCTCAATTTCATTAATAAGGAAAATGACCTCACCTTTAGACAAATCATCTGGACAACCTGGGAATGAGTAACAAGCAGTTATTTTTCAACCATCAAGATGGACCAACATTCCTTCATTACCACTAACTGCCATCAGAACTCTAACATGCTATTAATTCACACCTTCACAGAGCATCATCAGTGCATTGATTCAAATCATCTGACAGTGACTTGGTTTTTAAAGAACTTAGTAGTAAAATGGTGGTCTCTAGAAATAAGTAGAGCACACGAGCTCTAAGAGGGCAGTGTGCTGCTTTAATATTTTTTTCCAGAGATGAGAATGCCCTAGCCTCATTAGGACAATTACCTGTATTCATCCTGGGATGTAGTTTGAGTTCCTCAGAATTGAGTTACAGGATGCTGGACACAGAAAAACCAAATCATTACTTAATTTAATCATAGCCGCCCCGGGACCCTCTCCATCCATTTTCAGCCCACTTTTCAGTAGAAAGATGACATCACTGCAATTCAGCCATATGCTTGTCATTTACACTCATCATTAAGTGGTCATTTAAATGCGCTCCCTCTTAAGTGTGCATAAACCATGTTTACTCACCTTGATTACCAGCAAAATGTCCTATTTGCAAGAGTAGCCTAGCCTGGTTCCAAAGTGTAAAATCCGTTGAGATTAACCATATCTGAGTAAGAAAAAAGAAAGAAAACCCCTCAGAAACAGACCTTACTCCAAACCAAATCCAAACATCTGCTGCAGACTGTGCTACTCAGAGAACTTTTTTCTTTTCTCCACTACACCATCAGAAAGAGAGAGTTCAGGTTTTAAAATCATCCCTGCAGCACAGTTACACAGTCAGCAAAACCGAGACCAACAAAATTAAAGATATAAGCACTTACTCTTAAAACGAGAGCACACTTCCATTCCTCCGAATGCAATCACGTTCCCAAATCTATAAAGGAATGTTAGCATTCGGTTACTTCTATGCCACTTTTTAAGACATAGCTGGGCGGGGGCACAAGGCATTAGGTCCAGGGCCAGGCTCCTCAGAGTTACTTATCCTCATGGAAATCAGTACAGGTCTGTGAAAAGGTACTCATCATAGGGGATGGCCCTGCACCGCCGCCACCATTTTGTCCTTCACAAAGCCCCGCTGTGCCAAGGTCTTGAAGAGCCCCAAATGTAACCAATCTCCCTGCCACCGTTACGTAAGTTAAACAGGATCGCGTCTGGTTAACGCTATGCTCACGCGGGCTCTTAAAGAACCACCAGAAATAATCCTTTCACGAGGAAAAGCCAGACGTGGTAGTTCACGCCTTTAATCGCAAAAGTGGCAGGCAGATGCCTGTGAGACCGAAGCCCGCCGCGGACACCGAGTGAGACAGGTGGGTAAAGGACAAAATTAAACAAACGTGCAGAAGCCCACTTACCAAGACCACGGAAAAATGAGGACGAGGAGAACAACGGACGTCCCTTAAATACCATTTCGCAGAGGCCCACGGGATTTGGAGGCGGGGCTAGGAGGGACGCACGCGCCTACGCAAACGGCGCGCGGGCCGGGGGGGATTGTGGGTACAGGATTCCGCCCAAGCGCGTTAAGAGCGCTCCGCCTTGAACCCGTGGCGCGAAAAGAGGCGCAGGCGCTGTCGGGGAGTGCGGCGTCACGCCCTCGGCGCTGCGGCTAGGCGGTTCCAACCCACTGCAGATGAGACGTCACCGCTTGAGGTTTGGCTTCGTAACCCCTGCGGCTTGACTGTCGGGTTACGGCCACCGGTCCCCTTACTTTTACGTGATTCCTTGCCCTCAACCTAAAGATACATCGCTATGGATCCCGAACCTAATGAACACTCCACCGGCGGCGTCTCGGTTCCCCCCCGCCAGCCGCCCAGCAAGCAGATGGGGCCTGATGTCCAGGTGGTCAGCGCAGGGGGCGACTCAGGTACTGGGCCCCTGGCTGAGCTCGGTTGGAGATCCCTTGCATGGAGCCGGTTAGGAAACAAAATCAGGCCTCGATGCCCCACGTCATTCTGGAGACAGATTTTTTTTTTTTTTTTGGACCCTTCGTGTTTTGCTGTCTAGTTTGTTTTCTCCATGATCTTGGCCCGAATGAAGTAGGACCAACATTAGGTGTCATTTATGGAGCATGTTGCATGTTTTTTGTTCCTAACAGTGCTATAGATTAAACCTGAGACTATGTGCATGTGTAGACAAGCGCTCTACTACTGAGTCTGATACCTCTCCACACAAATGGGCTTACCGTTTCAAGCACCCTATATTGTCCACAATTACAAGAGGTAGGGACATCGACAACCCTCATTTTATACATAGGTGGTCTTATATCTAAGAGCTCTGGGGGGAGGTTCTTAAAATTTAACAAATTGTCTAGGTCACAGTTAGCTATAGATTGGTTATTGAGACTATGCAGCAACATCACATCATTAGTTATTTATAGCAAACATCTATGTGCATAAACTTTCGTTGTAACATTTATTAGTCTCTTACTAGTGGTTCTAATGCATGACCTCATTTAATAATCCTACTATTCGAGATGGAAGATGTTAAGGTAAAGTCATAGATGAGGAACCTGAGGCCTAAAGAGATTAAGCTGAATGTTACCCAAATAAGGAATATCAGATCCAAGGTATAAATCCAGACAGCCTGATTCTGAAATCATCACTGGTTGCTCTTGAAGCAGACCCTGGTTCATTTCACAGCTATCTGCAATTCCAGTTTCAAGAGATCTAATATCCACCTCTAGCCTCTAAGGGCACCTGGCATACATGCAGTACTCATACATGCATGTAGGCAAAACACTCAAATACCTAAAGTAAATAAATTTAAAATTTAATTTAAAAAAAAGATGCTGGGCATTTTGATATATGCTTTTAATCCCAGCACTAGGGAGGCAGAGACAGGCAAGGTTTGAGGCCAGCATGTTCTACATAATGAGTTCCAGGCCAGCCAGGGCTACATAGTTGAAACCTTTTGTCTTGAAAAAACAATCAATCAAACAATCAATCAATAAAAAATAGTTCAGTGAGAGGGCAGAAATGGCGCAGTGGTTAAGAGCCTGTACTCTTCTAGAGTATCTGAGTTTCACCCCAGCACCATGTCGAGTGACTCACAACTGCCTGTGATTCCAGTTCCAGGGGATCCAGCTGGCCTCTGGGGCACCTGTTTTCATGTGCAGAGACTCGTGTGTACACACAATTGAAAGAAATAAATTTTTTTGAGACAGGGTCTCTACATAGCCCTGGTTGTCCTGGAACTCATTATGCAGAACCAGTCTTGAACTTAAAGAGATTCTTCTGCTTCTCCTTCCCAAGCACTGAAATTAAAGGTGTGTACTGCCATGCCAGGCTCATAATTTGTTTTTAAAGAACAGTTTGAGAGTACACTTCAAGTGGCAATGGGCTGGACAGAAACTACCATACTTGTGTGCATTTCATCTTGATGCTTTTGCATGTAGTTCTGTTTGTACCGTAATTTGGGGAGCAAGCAAATACACAATAATAAATAAATAATCTTTGGGCCTGCTTATCTTTCCTTGTGACCCTGTCCACTGAAAAAAGGATAGTCTTTTCCCTAGTTGTCACATGAAAACTTAATACCACAAGTAAACTATATGTCTACTAGCGGGCCAGAAGCCATTTATTTAAATTTATTATTTTTGTTTTATGAGTATGTTTATGAGTATGAGTGTTTTGCCTGCATGCATGTATGTGTATTATATGTGTGCCTGGTACTCACAGAGGCTAGAAGAGGGCACTGGATCCCCTGAAACTGGAGTTAGAATGTTTGTGAACTACCGTGTGGGTGCTGGCAGCTGAACCCAGAGCAACAAAAACTCGTGACCTCTGAGCCATCTCTCCAATCCCCAGTAAAATTTTTTTTGTTTTGTTTTGGATTTATTTATTTTATGTCTGTGTTTTGCCTCTATCTATACAAGTGTACCATATGTGTGCCTAGTGCCCAAGGAGGCTAGGAGAGGGTGGTACCATGACATATGGCTAGAGCCCACCCCCTTTTTTCCTTTCTTTTGACCTGGCTAGGCTAGTCTTTGTTTCCCTGGCTGAAAGACTGCAAGCCACCACCACCACAAACAATTTTATATGTGGGTTTTGCCTGCATGTATGTCTGCACCGTGTGCATGCAGTGCCCATAGAGACCAGATGAGGTACTTGGATCCTATGAGGCTGCAGTTAACCGATGGTTGTGAGCTGCTGTCTAGGTGCTGTGAATTGAACCAGGGTCCTTGAGACAAGCAGTTGGTGCTCTTCACCACTGAGCAATTTCTCCAGTCTCCTTCCCACCTTTCCTCCTTTCCTTCCTTCCTCCCTCCCTCCCTTCCTCTCTTTCTCTCCCCCTTCCTTCCTTTTCTCTTTCCCTCACTCTCTCCCTCCCTTCCTCTCTTGCTCCCTCCCTCCTCTCTTCTTTTCTTTTTTTTTCTTTTGAATTTTTCAAGACAGAGTTTCTCTGTGTAACAGCCCTGGCTGTCCTGGATCTCCCTCTGTAGAGCAGGCTGGCCTCGAACTCACAGAGATCCACCTTCCCCTGCCTCCCAAGTGCTGGGATGTGCCACCACCTCCCGGCTACTTTTTTTTTTTTTTTTTTTTTTTTTTTTAAATGTGGGTTCTGGAGTGTTTATAACAGGGGCTAAAGTGATGGCTCAGGAGTTAAGATCAAATGCTGTTCTTGTAGAGGACCCAAGTTCAGTTCCTAACACCCATGTTGTGTCACTTCAGCCACCTGTAACTCCAGCTCCAGGGAATATAGCCCCCCTCTTCTGGCCTCCTTGGGTACTTGCACATATGTGGTATATATTTACACAGACTTACATAAATTAAAGTTAAAAGAAAACAAAAGCAAACCGAAACAAAATAATCCCATTTTCCATATGAGAAAAGTGAATATGATATTAAATTACCCCAAATCACTACCTGGCTACTGGGACAGAGCTGTCACTTAGGTACTCTAATCTCTACTTTTGACCCATTAAGGAAAATTATCCAGATCTTGGGAATATGCAAACTTGAGTGCATTGATGAAAAGCAGGCCCACTTTCATTGGAGATTAACTATTCTAGTAGTAAATATTTTGTAATCTTTTTATTGTCTGCTGATTTGGGCATTTTATGATTGCTATATTTGAAAGGGACTCCCACACAGTGGGGGCTCTCTTCAGACCCCAGATTAGGCAGAGACCCACCCAAACATCTGTATTCACAGAGATCCTTTATTAAGCAGGGAAGAAAAGTTAAAGTGGCTGCTTTCTGACTCAAGCAGAAAAACAGCAGCAAATGACCTTGCAGGTGTCATTCTTCAGAAGAGAAAAAGGAGAGGTCTGTGTTAGAATGGGTTAGGATGCAGATAGGGGAAGTGCGGATGAGGGAGAAGGGGAAGGGGACAGGGAGAAGGGGCTGGGTTGTTTGTCCCAGAGGACAAAGGACTGCCTCTGGGTGGAGGGGAGACAGACATGGCACATAAGCTTATGTTGGTTTATAAAGGGAAAGGGGGAAACCCCATGTTAGGATGAGGTGTTTTATTTTAATTGGGCATGTTAATTAGGTGAATCAAAGGGGGCTTTTGATTGCTGGATTTTGGTAGTCAGCCTCAGGAGGAGGAAGTGGGTAAATAAGGGACTCGACCTTGGTGGCTGGCTTTAGGAGTGTAATCTGATGGTTTTTAGCAAGGCAGAGGGAATGGGGGAGAAGGGCAGGGCCTGCCAGAGCTACATGCTTGAGTGGGCTGGTGTCTCTTCAATATTACCTTGTCAATTCTTAGCCTCTACCCTCTTAAGTACTGGGATTACAGGTGTGTGCCAGGACACCAGTTTTATGAGGTGGTGAGGTTCAAACCCATGACTTTTTTTTTTTTTTTTTTTTTTTTTTTTTTTTTGAGACAGGATTTCTCTCTGTAACAGCTCTGGCTGTCCTGGAACATGCTTTGTAGAGCAGCCTGGCCTCAAACTCACAGGCATCCACCTGCCTCTGCCTCCTGAATGCTGGGAATATAGGCATATACCACCACCACCTGTCCAAAACAAGCCTTCTACTAACTGAGCTACATCCCTAGCCTTACCCCAATTGTCTGCTTGTTTTAACCATACACGGTCACACTGCAGTTTCTTCCCTTCTAGTTCATTTTTTTACTGTGTAGCTAGGGTGTTCAATTTCCAGCACCCATATGGCAGCTAACAACCATCTGTAATGCCACTTCCTGGGGATCTGACACACTTCTGGTCTCCAAGGACACCAGACATGTACACGGTGCACAAACATACATGCAAACAAAATACCCTTACACATAAAATGAAACCTTTTTAAAAAGTTGTTTAAGTTCCCTTCTCAACTCCCAGTCCTTAGTGCTTCTCCACTGCCCTTAGGCTACAGTCCAGTTTGACTAATACTGCTGGAAAGAAACCCTGCTCCTTACCAGTGTGTTTCTGCCCTAGTTTCCTGTCTGTGGCTGTGATAAAGGACCCTGACAAAAGGCGACTTAGGAGAGAGAGTAGTTTACTATAGCTTACAGTTTCAGGTTACAGTCCATTATGGTCAGGAAGTCAAGACAAACCTCAAAAGGCCAAGGACAAAGATGAACGAATGCATTCACGGTCACCTGTTGGCTTGCTTGTGCTCAGCTCAGCTTCTCTACTCTGAGACAACTGGGGACCCGTATGGAATGAGGAACGAAGGATGCCATATACATGGGTTTTGTCTTCCTACATCAGTTAATTTAAGTAAGACAGTCCCCCACAGACCTGGCTACAGGTCAAACCAATGTGGGTAATACCTCATTGGGACTCTCTTCCCAGGTGATTCTGGGTTATGTCAAGTTGTTAATTAAAGTTGACCGTTTATTTTATTTATTTATTTACTTACTTATTTATTTATTTATTTTGTTTTTTCGAGACAGGGTTTCTCTGTAGTTTTGCGCCTTT